ACACACCCCTCACTCAAATCCAGAAGCTAGTTTTTCTATAGTAGAGCTTAAATTTTTGCTTCATAAGCAATCCTTGCTATGCAGACTGCATTAAGCAGCTCTTAGATCAAATATTGTGTCCTTTGTTTCCCACAGAAAGTACTGTCATCGGATCATAGGCTACCTTCAACGGAGGTAAGGAAATCTCATGAGCATATTATATGATTTTTTTTTTGTAATTCCTGTATTTTGAAGTACACACACGAAAACTAGCCTACCAAAATTTTATTACCATATACCAGTAACAAGGCAGAGTTGCAAGATAAGTCCTATTGCTGATTATGCTCCTGTATGAATATATATTCATTAAAACTTTTATGTTCAGCAGATGATAAAGTACACATAGATTAATTAACATGAACTGCCTGTTGCTCAAAAAGAGAGCAAAAAAGGGACACTATAGGTAGAAATAGGTATCGTCTGTGTCTCATGACAGAGAAAGCATTTCTCTTTGTGAATGGTACATCCTGCTGCAATAAGCTGGGAACTGGGGGGACAGAAGGCTAAAGGCTCTGAGGTTTAGCAGCTCCATAATGAAGCAGATATGCCAGATATACTAATCACTGGAACAGGCTGCCCAGAGAGGTTGTGGAGTCTCCTTCTCTGGAGATCTTCAAAACCTGCTTGGACGCAGTCCTGTGCCACGTGCTCTAGGTGACCCTGCGTGTGCAGGGGGGTTGGACTAGATGATCTCTAGAGGTCCCTTCCAACCTTAAGCATTCTATGATTCTATGATCATTCTACCAAAATCGCATAATTCAACCCGTTATTTAATGCAGCTCAGAGAGCATCAAAAACTTCCGAGCTGCAGACCTAATAATGACTAGATGAAGATAATATGGGGGAGAGCCTTGTTAAAGCCAACAAGAACATTATTTTGAGCTCCAGGGCAGGAGGACAGAGCATAGTAAAGGATTTTCTTTCTGCTAGCAGCTAGGCTATTTACAGTAGAGGCAGCTCTCCACACCCTAAACCCATAGCCTCTGACTCTGATTTTCACCACTGTGGTTTGAAACATTTGCAATTGAAAAGATCCTTTGAAATAGATTCTTGTTGTGGATTTTGACAACACTGTATCTCCAGAGCATCTCTACTCTCAGCAAAAGGTCAATGTCTTTTCCTGGGTTTAGATCCATCAGTCAATGTCTATAAATTTTTCATTCCAAAATTGAGGTGATTTATATCACCTACATGGAGTGGAGTCATGGGAATGATGAAATCTCTCCCTAGCCTCAAGCCTGAGAGAATCAAATTTCTTTCTTCCTTTTTTTTTTTCCCTTCCAGTTTAAAGTTTTTCTTGATAAATGCTGGGTTTTACAAATAGCACCTTATGTCACCTGAGGTTACTTATTTTCATCTCCTATTTACTCTTTATTATCCTACTTTGCTTTATTATATGAGTGTAATATAACAACAAGCAACACTTGAATGGTGAGTGGTGGAAGGCTATAGGTCAATGTATTCGTTCAAAGTATTTGAATGCTGCTATCTCTTTTTTGCAAAAAAAAAAAAAAAAAAAAAAAAAAAACCCTTTTCTCCTCCAGTATAACCTTTTCCTATATAGCTCAACTAGAGTTAAAATACCAGCTGTGCTCTGCTTGCAAGGCATTCTTAAAACAAAGCATTACCTAGCTTCAGGGAGCCTGCTAGCATTAATTGTGTGACAGTAGTTTTTTTCTGAGTGACAGGCCCATTAGTCTTTACTCCTACAAGAGTCTTACTCATCCTTCAGGGTGAGGGAGGAGCCACAGAACAGACCTCTTCCCTGGGACATGATTGATAAAAGCGGTCTGTGATCCATGAAAACATGTCCCTGGAGCAAGAACAAAGGGAAGCAGCACTGAACTGCAGAGATGACGCATTCTATTGCAACTGTCCTTTCAGTCTAGGACGTTACTAAAACCAAGCAAAACATAATAAAATCAAGCAAGCATGATAAGGAAATAAAAAAAAATAAATAAAGCCACAATATAATTGAAGTTAACTAGTCAATATAAAGTAACTTTGGAAAAAACATACTCAGAATACTCAATCTATATATATTCCCTTATATTTCGCTTTGTCTTCATCCAGTGGAATAAACTAGCAATTAAAATTATTTAAAAAGAACAACAGTTTATTAAAGCATTTCAAGAAGTAGTTTTTATCCTCTTAAGTAGAGGTATGCAAACTGTTTTCACTAGCAGAACAGTACATGATGTAAAATGAGGTTAGTTCTTTTCAAGAGGATCTTAGAATGCTAGTTTTTTCTGCTAAAGAACCAAGCTGGTCTGTTTTTTTCAAATCACTCTGGAATAATAGTATAGGAATCAGAGATAATCAGTCCTTTGTGGCCAGATTTCATTTAAAAATAAAGACAAAAAATCTATCACCAAGCTCTCTGCTCTTCTACTGGATATGTAACTACACTACACGAAGATGACTATCGAAGCAGTACTGCAGAAATGAACCTTAAAAAAATGACACTCACCTGGGAAAAATGACTCATGGCTAAGATCGTAAATATATTTTTCAACCTTCTGCTTTTCAGTGCTCTGAGACTGAGCTCAAGATGATAGGGAGCCTAAGAGAGCTGTAACTCTTTTCTTTCTGTCAATCCCAAAAGGCATGGTTGTCTTCTTTTTCCACCTGGAAATTTTGTCCAGCCAAAAAAAAACGTGGACATTTCTTCAGGATTCCTAGATGTAAGCTAATGCGGTAAGACCATCAGCAGAATTTGCCTGTCTGATATCTGGAAGTTATGGACAAACAGCAATGCTGCATATACAGATCAACTGCATACACATTGCTACTTCTTGGTTACAAGATAAGCTTTTTGTTGTAACATAAGGTATATATCTCTTCATGACCCATTCCACATATCACATCAGTAACCAAACTAGAGGTCACCAAAATTCTACAGAAAACTTTTGGCAGTCAGATATTTATCATAATTTTCATTTATGTTATACAAATGTTGCAGTCATAAACTCTCTTCTGTCTTCTGTATTGACTGTTTTCCATTTTAACAGGAATAAATATCCCTGCAAAAAGTACGTATGAACATACCAAAGTACATAGCTTATTAGATTTACAAAACAAATTTCTACTGTCTGTTATCCTAACATGATATAAATAGCAAAACATTTTCATATAGGTCAGCACTAATATTTAAGTAAGGATATTTTTTGCAAGTATCATTTTACCTTCAGTTGAATTTTTCTTTCAAAATATCTTAGAATTAATTTATACGAGAAACAGCATCTTGTTGTACAAAACTAAACCATGAAAAATCATATAGTAGTGCCCTTATGCACTCTGATAATTATTAAAAATAAACTAAAAGTGCAGAAAGTTGCACATTTTGATAGAAATTAAAAGTATCCATATGTTGAACTGCTCCAAAAGAACTATCAAATCTTAAATTGACTCTTTGCCTTAAGTGTACAACGTGTCTGTAGATTTTCCTGAGTATTTGAAGTAAATACCCAACAAACACAGAACATTATGTGCTGAGTTGGTTTCCTGTTGAGGCCCATACAAACCACATCTTAATTTAGCCTCACAATACTGTTACTGTCTATGTACCTGAATTGCAAAACAGCAAATTGCCACTGATATTTCTCTGAGATGAGCTCACAGAAGAGTACAAATATACGAGCAGTGCAATACCACAGATTTTGCCCCAGCAAGAATATACATGGTCCACTCAAAATAAGCTTCTTAAACCCCTCTGCCATTAAAGATCTCCACAATGCAGATCATTACTCTGCTGCTTCATTGAGACCATAGTGGAAGTATTGCCCAGTTTTAATATTTTATTTATACTTCTGAAATATTAAATTAAAACATTGTTAAAAACACCAAACTAAAAACAGTTCTAAAAGAAAAAGCTTTGAATTTGACTTTATGATCTCAGGTGAGAAACGGCAAGAAATGGAGTTAAAGAAAGACTAGTTCTTCACAAGTTAGGTATAACATCCAGATACAGATGTATTTCTTATTTGTCATCTTTATCCTCTTTTGTGTCTTACTAAATGTATTATTTCCTTTCTGCTTTTTTGTTTATATTCTAAGGAGGCTCTCTCAAACTCTACATAACTGACTTTAAGAGATCTCCAAGGACAACCATAGGTATTCTCTTCAGCTGGAATCACTTGGAACCAACACCTGTCAAAAAGCCAAAGCAGTGAATGCAAGACACATTCACACAAAAGCTCTTCTTGGATACTGTTTTGCAGAGACACCAAGCCTTTAAATTAGGTTTCTTAGATAATGGCAGTTTAATCAACTTATCCACATGAACTTGGAGCTCAGGAAGGCCCAATGGATAGTTCTAAGAAGAACATCTTCATTCTAAATTCTGTAAATGTTATGTCTACTGTACTATGCAACCACTAATGTGACTAGGGAGACTGCACTACTTAACAAATTAACAGTTCTCAAAGAAGTACTGTTATTACTGGAAAACACTAAGTGTTTGTGATAGCATTTTTAAGAACTTGATTCTGAACTCTATCAACACAAAGAAGACAAGAAGACTAGGTTTTATGTATATAGCCAACCCATCGTACTGGTGAGTATTCTCAGTTGTTCTTAATCTCTCTCATAATATCACTGTTAATAAATATTCAATTTTCACTAAGCTTAAATTAATTTTATATGACAAACAATCTTCAAAATGAGAGTAATTTAAGTTAACAATTAACAATTCAATGGTTGAATGAGTACAAAGCTTCCTAACAGAATTCAATGTTTTTCAAAGCAGAAATACCTCTTCATGCTGTAGCTTACATTTAGAAACTTTTTTGATGGGGATTCCTAACAGATTCATCAACTGTAAATATTTCTAAAACAATGAGAGAAAACTAACTAGGTACCTTTCAGGACATGGAAGCCAAGAAATAATTCCGCTAGCTGAAAATTCATGACACACTTTAACTCATTTTATTAGTTTTGTTATAACTGAATTCTTCTCTTACCATCATGATTAGGATTTCCCAAAGTCCATGGCTCATCTGAGTCAAAATGAGTGTCTCCCCCAATTCCTGGCCCAGGAAAATATGCATGGGCCAAAAAACCTCCCTCCCCATCAAAGGGAGAACTGTCTCCATGAAAACCTGATGCAAAAATGATTGTAATATCCACGTCCCTCTTGCCGTTTTCTAATTCAATATAAGGAACTTCTTCGAATGTCAAAGGAGTTACATTCTGCCACACATCAAAGGCACGGCGAATGGCTTTACGAGTTTCAGCATCACCTACTTTTGGAGTGACGTTCTTTATGCTGAAAGAAACAGAGAAACAGTAAATGGATTAAATCTGTCAGAGTGGTTAATAACACTTCTCTCATCCATTTTCCCCTCATTATTAAAAGCACTGTACTTTTAATAAGCAGAGCTTGTCAGGCATTATATACTTTGAAAAAATATTTCTCAATAAGCAGGTGGGAAATTACTGTGTTAATATGTGGTCTTTTATGCTAGCACTCCTTACAGGTTAGCTAGCTGACTTCCAGCAGTACAAAATTCTTAATTTTAGAACATTAAAAATAATTAAAATTAAAAATTCTTAACAGTGGGATAACCAGATTAATCAACCACTGACTGTTTACCTATTGGACCAGAAGTAGAATCCATCACAGCAACACAACTGCATTTCAATTCTGATTAAAAGCTGAAAATGCTTTCAGCTAAATGAAAGTTTAACTTCTTACTGAGTCCATTAACAGCAGTAAAGCTTCATACTGTGGCTCCCAACCAATATTTACAGAGGCTTAAAACCAGTTCTTGTTACATTTGCAACTAGAGAGATAATCTTTATCAGAAACAAAGTCTGTCTATGTTATAACTAAGATGTCCTTTTATGATCTGCTTTTATCTTGCATAAAACTATAGTTTTTTTTTCTGTAATATTACTTCAGAGAAGACATGGAGCAATGATTAAGTTCAAAAATACATATTGAGACAGAACATTTCAGTTTCCACTATTTCTTCAGTGTGCAATAGAGAATCTACTATTTCCTTGGATCTTTTGTTCCAAAGAAGACTTTACCCATCACTAGGCAGTTGTGCCTATTTTCTGATTTGAATTTGTCTGGCTTGTAAGTGCAAGAGAGGCCGAAAGAAATGCCAGAATTATGTTTGAGTTACAGTTGCTAGTAAATTGTAGTGGAATCACTGAAAAAAAAGGATTCATAGGGCTAGCCGAGACTCTACTATTTTTCTATATGTCTCTATTGAAATTAATTGAAAATGGATGCACTTTTGATGATTCGACCTGTGTTTGACTGAACGCAGGAGTTTCAGAAATATGATTGCCCTACAATACATGTAAGATTACGCAAGATTTATGCAAGTTCACACAGAGTGATGTGCAAATGGAGAACAAAAATATTTCCAAGAATAAACCTGAAATGATTTGTTAGTTTGGAGTATTAAATATGTTTGCTAAGATAGCAGTGTGGGCTTATGTAAATGTAAAATGTAAATGTAAATTTTATAGATGCAATTTTACATATATATTACTGTGCTTATGGGCTCATGCAAAAAACATAAAGTTATCTATTTTGATTTCCATTTAATTACTCTTGTAATTAAGAGTCCACTAATGTGGGTCTAGCTGAAGCACAACTTCTTTTTAGTTAGCATACATATCTCCAGGTAGGTATCAGGCCAGATTAGAAGGCAGTATGTAATAGAGAATCTACTATTTCCTTGGATCTTTTGTTCCAGAGAAGACTTTACCCATCACTAGGCAGTTGTGCCTATTTTCTTATTTGAATTTGTCTAGCTTGTAACGATTCTTCTGATGTCTTTCTCCTTTAGGTTCAGAAGCTTCATTTTTTCTCTCCCCAGAAGAGATGTGTACACTGCAGAGTAGCTAACTTGAGGAGTAGCCAACTTAAGGAGTAGCCAACTTAAGGAGTAGCCAACTTAAGGAGTAGTCAGCTATTAAACTCTAGATTTCCTCCTTGGGTTTAAAAGTTTGAACTCCTTAAATCCCTCACTCTAAGACAGTCTTTCAAGCCTACAAAATATTTTCTGTGCTGCTTCTTGCACTCTCTCCAATTTTTAATGACCCTTTAAAACTCACTATCAGAATTAAAAAGCACTGCAGTATGGAACTCACTGTCAGACGGGGAAAGCTTCTGCTCTGTAGGCCTGATGCAAACCTCATGTGATTCAGATTGCTTTGCATGATGCCCTTCTCACACAACCATGTGCTCATTCGTTAACCTATGACCAGTGCTGATTTTCAGATGACGGAAAAATATACTGGATGCACTGGACTGAGTATCAATCTCTGCAGTAACCCACGCTGAAAACTCGCTCTTTTGTGAATTACTTCTTAAGGATGCCTCAAGTAGCAAGGTCTTAACCTACCAAACCAGCGTCTTTTAAGAACGTATAGCTTTTTTAAAAAATAGGATGTCATGTGGTCAAAACGCTTCACAAAAATACATATATACTGTCTCTACCAGAAATTTCATGATGGTTAATTTGTTTCTATATGAAGAACAACACTTAGGATGCTGACAAACTTTCTCTTAATCTAATCCTGCAGCATGCTCTGTAGAGGATCAGAGTTACTTCTGGTTGTTACCACATATAATAAACATAGCAATGAATCAACAGGCTTTTATAGAAAATATACCATGTTTATTTATTTTTTTCATTTTTGAAGTAGTTAGAAGTATAGCCTACAGGTAAAATTTATTATTGCTGTTATTGTTTTTGTATTTAGTAATCTTAGTAAAGGATCAAGAGCAGACTTTGCTTAGGGTTATGTAAATGTAAGCAAAGATGTTCTCTGGTTCTTCTACGTGACAGGAGGAATTGGAGGAATAAAAAACGACTGGAGATTTGTATCTATGGAAAATAATTACTTGGTCTAAAAGGATTTGACTCATATTTTTGAACTTTATCACTTTACATTTTCCCACGTTTTTGGTGCACTGGGTCAACTTTTTGTCACAGATTAAAAATGCAAAATTTGGCCACTGTGCTATTTTCACACATATTAACTAGGGTTGATTATCTCAGATGGGGGACCCTTTCCAGTGGGTTCAGCGATTGATTTACAGCTGAAATAGTGCTCTGTGACCCAAGATCCAAAGTGAAGAAAAGATCTTTTCAAAGTATACAGTCTATGTTAGAACAAGATAGATTTTGGATTCCAGAACAGCCTTCTGGAGAAGGTCATACTGAGAAATGTTGCTTCTAAAAGAAATGAAATAAATCACTAGTTATTCCTATATATATGTGTGTATATATATTTTTATATATATAAATTCTAGAAATTATTTTTAACAACTACTATGGTCATCTGGGAGACTGTTGAATTATTGATCATTTTAATGTTTTTAATACAAGCCACGATCAGTTCTAAAAAGACAAATTCTAATCTTATTTTTAACACCAGCTTTGATGTTGTGCAGCTGAGTAACCTGGCTTAAAATATTTCATCAATGCATTCTTCTCTTCTATTTCCTCCCAAAAAATATCCTTCCCCAAAATTCTCCATCTTTCAGTGACAGTCATTTGGCTGCTATAGCTTTAGGAATCTTGTAAGGCTTTCAGGATACACCTGATACACTTGGCTGTTTGGAATCAATCATTTGAAATTTAAATACAATTTATTAAATAATATATATATATAAAATAAATATATAATATATATAATATATACAACATATATATATAATATATAATATAATATATTTGCATATATATTTCACTATTTCCTTTTTCTTCCTGACTTGTCAATAGAGCAGGTCCTTATTATATTTTTTTCACAAAAATTGCTATCATCTTTTATATAAAGGTATTTTTTCTGACCCAATCTGAACTATGAGGCAGTTCAGTAAAGGCTGGACAAAGCTTGAAATGTATTTGTATAAAGCTTAGCATTGATCTCACACCTTAACAGCAATGGTCTTCACAAGAATTGTAATAACTCAATAATAACATTTTCACAGTCTGTAGACTTTGATAATTCAACTCCACTGCACATAATAAATACCATTTTAAATGGATTCTATGCTCACTTGTGCATTGAATCCAAGGTATTGGACTAATAATGTCTTACTACTCTGTTTTTAAATGTGTATTATTAAATGGGATACTAAACAGGTGCTCTCCAAATATTATGTAAGAGGGCATTTTTATTCTTCTGGAGCATATAGCTATTCAATTTAATTGGGAAAACATTCCTTTGATGGCATTTCACTCAATCTTTCTAAGATTTTCTTGGAGTAAAATCATGAATCTTTCTTCTAAATAAAGAAAGGACACAGAAGATAAAAGAGCAGGAAATTCAACTGAATGAGTAAAAAACAGCAATCTAGTTGAAGTAATCAGCTAACTCTAGATCTACAATTGATGCAAAATAGTTAAGATAAAATGAAATGAAACACAGGCTTTATCTGAATAGCATGCTAAAATCTATACCTTCCCAGTGCTATTGCTGTCAATCAAAACTAAATTTAAGTAAGTGAAGTTAAGTTTTGCTTTTTTTTTTTTGCTTAGTTTTATTTAAATGAATACATTACCTCTGGCCAAAGCTATATTTCGTTTTGTGCCACAATTTCCCTAGATATATTTCCCATAAAGTTACTTCATTAATATCTCACTGGTTTGAACTGTCTTAGTTTAAACTTCTTCCTAATCTCATTTTGTACCTCCTTGTAACTGTAACGTGAAAAACCTTTTTCTTGTAAAATGTGCTATTTGTCCATAGAGCTACTGCTCCAGCTGATTAAACCCAAGTCAGAGATATTGCTTTTGATTTTCTTATTCTATGGCAACATTAAAAGTCAGCCATGCTGGACAGAACATATAATTCTCTCGCCCCTTCTGTTTCACGAACAATATTCTCTCTGTAATTCATTAGAAGAAGCTGAAAAGTGACAATGAGATTTCTAAGACACAAAACCAAGATTAGCAAAAATACTTCATGAATATATATATATATACATGTATATATAACGGGAAATATGTTCTAAGGATTCCTATTTGACTTAAAATGTATAAAATACAAAATGCTAACAAATAGATATTCAGATATTGTATTATTTCCAGATTGCTGAAGTAAGTAATTGTTACAGAAGAAAGAAGTGATACATTACAGTGAAGGAAGATTTTAGATGAAAGCTGACGCTAAAAATACCTATGGTCTTTTTTTTTTTTAATTATACTGTGGAAAAGCTTTGCTAATCTGCTTAATTGTCTGTTAAGTAGGGATCCTCTTTCACACTTACAGGTCTCTGGACTTTTTTTATGGCATAAAGTTTAGAATCAGCATGGTGTAATTTAATCACCTTTTATTAGGTATATTTTATGTGCTCTCCCCACAGTCAGGGTTTAGAAATGCTGAGATATATAAAACTGCTAATACTGTTCTTTAAAAAATTACCCTTATTAAATTACATTTTGGGAAAGCTTTAATGAAGGGAGAAATATTCTTAAATCAGCACTCAAGAACTCAAGTACTCCATTTTATTCAGATTCCTAAACAGTGCCTATCATAGAATGAGAGAAAATTAGGCGAAAAGGAGAAATTTTCCACCATATGGTTGAAGAAGTCCATTTTTTAATAATATTTTGATTAAAATCTTGCAGGAGATGCTGCTACAATGGATAAGACTACTTTCCAGATTCTTAGTTAAGGATCTCATTCTACACCCACACTTAGTATTGAAAGTTAATGCTTATTATCAGGAATCCTTGATCTCATGCCTGTCCTGTTAGAGGTTGAAAACCTAAGGTAGTCTAACAATATATCAGAACTTTTTAGCAGAAAACAATGAGTCTCTCTAGTACGAATCCCATTTTTCTGGAGTTTACATCTGCAGCAGATCATCAGAGCTCTAGTAAAACATATGAGCGGGAATGATAAGGACTCAGAAGTGGGTCATTTTAAAAGCACTTGCCCTAGGACAACCCTAAACACTTCTTCATGCAACTCAATGTTTTCCCAGTACAGTTGTTTGCCCTAAAAATTAAATAAATGTTGCATATTGCTGAACAATGATTTTTTTCTCTTAAAAGAGCAAAATGGAGGTGCAGGATAGCCTTTAAACTAGAATTATATTTTAAAACATTATGAGCTTGGGATTAATTCAGGACAAAGTTTGGCTCTCCAGTTTTATTTTTGGAAGTGTTCTATAGAATATTTAATCTAATTGATCAATGACTGACTCAAGTGTTAGAGTTAAAATTAAGAATAGTATGTGCAGACTTCTGATGAGGCCAATTTTACATTAAATAATTCTCTTTCTTTAAAAAAATAATTTGGTGAAATTCATATTAATATAAAGCACACATACAAATAATCATGCTTATAAGTAAACTGGCATGAACAGTCTACAGGTATACATGGCAGAAGATGCAGTATGTAACATTTCCATGTAACTTCATTAGAACTTCCAAAAAACCACCCTATTTACTAATTCATGCAGTTGGAAAGTTACATTCCTTGAAGGAGAGAAAGTATAACTAATGTAATGCTACATTCTATATAGGATTACTAATAAAATGCTATGTTAGCATTGCAAACATCAGATTTTTTTTTTTTATCCTGTTAATATTGTCTGCAGATTATTTTCTAAGAGCAATTATCATCAATGTAAAAAATGTAATATGTGGCCAAAAAGCACATAATTATCCTTATAAATGATCTACATGCTAAATCATTTATGTGAAGCTCCAACTTGCCATGTTGTGAAACTGCCTCAACTTTAAAATTTGTAATTTGAAAACATGTAAATGTAGGAAAAATAGGATGTAAGTCACATGTATCTTTTTTTATCCCCTTACTCATAATTAAATGGACCAAACAAATGGGAAAATATTCTGAGAAACCCTGATTCATTTACGTTTAGCAGGCCCCAGAATAAATTCCTGGGGACAAAATAACACTTACAGAAACTACTACAGTAAAATATGTGAAGTGGGCAGAGTTTAAAATGTGTATATGATCTCTATTGTTTTACCATTAGCAATATCTTGATGCGATCTGATGACACTCTAAGACCAAGTAACCAGACAGTGGCAAATTTACCTTTTGATCAACAGATTCCCCTTTGGAATTGCACATGTAGGACATATACGATGAAAAAATTAACTTCTGTGGATTTCAAAGAGTCCACTGATAGTATTATAAGTACATATTATATTAATAGTATATAATATATTTTATTTAAGTATTTTATTAATTAGCAACTAGGAAGCTAATTTGACAAGTATTTCCCACTTTGAGGAAATATTCAAAGACTCATTCTGATCCAATTAAAATCAGTAGTAAAAAAAAGAAAAGATTAATTGCTGTTTATGTCCATGTTCCACTCATTTTTGCCCATTTCCTCTTAACATAGTGGCAATGCCAATGAAATATAATTTGTTGCTGTTATCCTTCTAGTTCAGAAAAGCAGGTGAGCGTAGTCCTATGATGAGATGACTGTGATGGATGGCATCTGTTCTGTTTGTTCTGTTTGTTCTACTCTTCCTGGAATGTGGGTGAGGTGGCAGACACTGAAAAGAGGGAGAAATTGCTCTTTCTTTGGAGGAATTACTAAACTTCCTCAGGATGGGGGCAGTTCAGACTACTAGGTGTAACTAGCCAGGAAGGAACATAATGAAGTTGAAAACCTGAAGTTTATGAGGACTTGAGAATAGGTACTGAGAAAAACAGAGTAGACAAGCACTACTGGAGATAAAACCAAAAGATTGGGTAACAAAGCAACTTTAGAAGTCATTCAATTAACCAGAATTAAGCCTGTAACCAGGGAACCACTGGGAAGGAGGAAGCAGGTGAAGAAAAGTGTGTAAGATTTTTTTTTCTCCTTTTTTTCCCCCCTTAGTCACTTTTGGTTTTTCATATTTTTAAAGTTTTTTTTTTGTTCTAATAATATTTGGCTTTTGCAGTTTAAATATCCTTTGGTCTATAGACTCCTACAGACAATTTGTAGGTTGATTCACTTCAAAGCTCTCGTCAATTGGCTTGTCACGTGAAAGAGCAAACATTTTGCAAGAAGAAAGGCATGAAGCAAAAAATGGCCGTAAATTCTTCAAAGTGAGAAAGATTACTTACTGAGACTTAGATTAGGCTTAATGCTTGGCACTTTCATTTATTATTATGACTAATGCCTTAGGCGACAGTACATGAAAATAAATAAATGATCAGATTTACACTATCGTAAAAAAAATGTAATGGAGTAGAATCAGACTCCCCACAAATAAGGAGGAAAATACACACATATTTATACACACTCTTGCATATTTATGTACATACGTGATATTTAAATTGTAAAATGTAGATAAAAGTAATATGTTGTTAGTGGGCATTCTTATTCTGATCAGCCATGTACCATATCTACATTAACAGTAAGGCATGTTTGAGGTCACCTTAAAATATAAATCATAGCATTGATATACAATATCTAATGCAGCTATCTCTGCATTGTGGTATGAACAACAGTGCAGGGAAAATCATTTTTGACAGAAAAGGTGAAAACTGTCTAAACTACATGGCAGATTTACACCAGAACTGCCAGAATTATGCAAGTGTTCAACCCCCTACATTTCCCTACGCCCATCCTCGTGTAGGTGGGAAACGGCCAGGTCAGTGACTCACCAATGGCAATGAAATTCATTTGTACATTGAAATAGACCTCTAGCATTTTCCATTTTCCATTTACTTTTAAAATAGAAACTGCAGCTTCAGTACACTAATACTTTCAGAGCAAAGTTCCCAGTCCCTGAGAAGTTACCAAGAGGTTTGAAAGGTAGGGTTAAGAACATATTGAAGGTTAATTTGATGCTGAAAGTTTCAAAGAACTTAGTGTTCACTAAACATATGAAATTTCAATCCAGTAAAATAATTTCTTTCTTATGTAATATGTAAGTATATATCCCAGAGTTATTCAAACTATTTTACCACACATTAATAAAAAAATTTTTGAAATGTTGACAAATATTTCATAAACTTATATTTACTTTCAATAAATGCCTAGTGCTACCACTGTGTTATAACTGTACCACTGAGTTATAACTCCATATTCATATTTTTGGTACCTGTAAGTGATATGTTTGTGTTGCCACTTCTGTCCTGTTAATGCATATCGTTTCCGACGAACGCTAAATTTGGAGCTGCCCCTTGTTTGGTCAGGAACACCACATCGAGGCTTCTTCATCCAGCTGCAAAAACCAATAACACACAGTTAAAGTAAGATAGAAGACAAATCATACCACTGTAACCAAATAAGAAGAATGTCAGCATTTTTTTTTACAGTTACAATAATACCAAACTTGTGCCTATACACAAAAATTGCTATCAACAGGAACAGTCACTGGATGCAGATTTTGGATGCCTATTTTATGACATTTAATCACTTGGATGACACGGAAACAAATTCATTTGTTGTTACCTTCCCTAGTTTTCTGTTGCTATCAACTCTGAACAAAGACTTCGCAACTGGATAAGTCTTTCAGCTTTCATAATTTATCCTGATTCTTTCAAGGCAATTATTATCTGTATTACTGGTTTACCTACAAAAGGTGAAGATAAAATAGGTATTCAAAAGGTTAAGTCAAATCACGAAGTCCTGAATTTTGTTTTTCCATTTTGTGATTCTTCTCTGTTGTCTGTTTATTTAAACAAGTTCCAAATTCTTTTAATCAGAGGGCCTAGTCAGGTGGGGCCAAATATATATATATATTTCAATTCAAGATACTGAAAATGCTAATATTACTAACGCTAATAATATTATTAATCTCTTCAGTAAATGCTTTTACTATCTGACTGTCTTTCAGTGCAATGAAAAGTATCAGCTCTAATCACAACTGTGAACTGCTAGGGCCTGAACAACAGGCCCAAGTCAGGGTTGACTTACAGATGAATGTGGCTTTGCCTTTGTAGAAGTACACAGAACTCGCCTGTGGAACTGCTTATGCTAACCTGCATTGTAACTTTTGTAGGCTCTCATGCAAGTGTTTTTGACCTTGAAGAGAACTTTCCCATCCAAAGCTGGGGCCCTGGCCAGGTCCCAGTCCCGCATGATAAGGACACACAAGATGTTACTGCTCACAAAGAAAATGCAAGATTTGCTGATTTGGTTTTATAAAAGCTGGACCCTCCTCCCGTGACTTTGGAGACCTCACTTAGGGGTGGACGCACTGCATAAGACCTCCCAGTTGCTGGGAAGGCTCCAAATCCTCACCGCAACAGGGGCTCCCCAGTGACTGCAAGTTGGGATAATGGTTAACGCTTTTGGGCAATTGGTAATGTATATTTTCTTAATCACAATTCTCTTTCTTGTGTAGTATTACCTTGCTTATTTTGTCCGTTGTCAAAACCCAGCGGATAGTAAGCTTATTGTTCTGTTAGATGTATAATTTCATTTCTGTATTATTTGATATTAATAGTAAACATGACCGTTCTTTCCCTTGGTGTCTGGTTCTTTCCACCACCAGTCCCACCAATTGACAAAACAAACTGTAAACTCTAAGTCGAGTTATCTAGCTCAAGAATTCTACCTAAGAATATTTAATGCACTAAATAAAATCAACTTGAAAAGGTCTAAATCATAAACAAAAATGGACATCACAGGAGCATCTGACTTTCCAGAAAAGAGTTTAATTTTTACAATGGTGTTTAATTTTTTATGTGTTCCAGTATGCCAAATACTTCAAATTTAACTGTATTCCAAACAGATCAAAACTGGGACAATACCTAATTCCAAAGCACAAGTTCAATGTCCATATCACTGCACTAAGAGTTTCTCAGTTGCAGTGTAAGGGGCTATGTAGCTTAATTAAGTGCAACAAAATTCAGCTGAAGTCATTATTAAATAAGAGAGATGGATAGCACCAGGCAATTGTCCATTGCCATCAGGAAAATAGTATGACTAAAGATGTTCATTGTGTAAATAAAAGACATAATTCTTGTGTTAGTTCTCTGGTTCATTGACTTTTATCACAACAGGTAATTATTGATACCAAAGCATTTTTTTCTGTGCATTTTCCAATGTTATTTACTGTGACAGTATTCATACCCTATATTATGACTTGCATAAATTAATTTCTGATCATTACATTGGCATTTAATCAACATATCATAAATATATATATCTAGCAGCGGAATGTTTTTATGAATAAATGGCTGAAAATTCATTGGAAATGTCATTTAATTAAACATGGACTACTTTTAAAACATGCACAGGTAAAGAAAATGCAACAACAGCAACAAAAGCAGAGAACCAATCAACCATTCTTTATTTTTCATCTTTCCTGCATATATTCTTTGTTCAACATACCCGCAAAAAAAAATCTGCTGTTTTGTCCAAAAGAAATCAAGAAAACAAGGAATATTCACACTGCAAAGGAAATATATATATATGTATATATATATGTACACATATATAGCAAAATAAATCATTGATTTGTTAAAGAAAACAAATCCTAACACACACAGTAAATAAAGTTCTTAGAGTAACAAAGATGAAGATTGATCAGTTCCATAATCAAGAACTGAAATCTGCATTCTGGTTTTATAACTACCAATATAGGGTAAGGCATATTGCATACTGAATGAATTTTTGGAGACAGCCTAATGGAACAAGGACTTCCAGTCAAAGCCAGCCACACTCATTTTCATAAATCAGTATAAAGAAGTATGCAAGTACAGCCAGGCTTATAACACTTGTAATATACTCTAGCTATGGATTTATAGCAGATTATTATTAAATAGCTAAGTGCGAGTTCAGCTGACCAGTCTGTGGGCAAGTGTTGATTCAGCAAAGTAGATGTCAGTGACTTCTGGGTTATGTCATTACTGCCGAGTTAAATTTGTTTTAATAATGGAGTTAAAATGCAAGTATTAGTTACAGACTAAAGAGCAGTGCCATTCCTCCCAGTATGAATCCATATTTGCCTTCAGCAAATGAGATTAAAAATTGGCTCAGACTTCAGAAAACTTTTAGGCACGTGTGGTCGGTAATACTTTTTCTCAGTGAATGTCAGATCAGCATGCAGTCACCATACATTTTAACAACTCGGTATATTCACATTGCATTGTTCAAACCACACACACACACTACAGGAAAAGAAAACATATATGCAACAAAAGACAAGTTTTCTCACCTTAAGGTGATATCACTAAATCAAAAGAAAGAAGCAAGAAATAAAGAAAAAAAGAAAAAACTATTATATTTTGTTAGAAACTGTACAAAAATGTTAGGGTCTGACATAATATATGCAATATAATATATCATATCTAATTGCATTTTTTAAGGGCAATTACTTGAATTGAATCAGGCTCCAAGGAAAAAAAAGTCTGACGCAGACCTATCTTAATAACAGGGTTTGCTCACCTGGCAGAGACCCAGGGCAGATAAGATGTGTAAATATTCAAAGTTGTGAATTTAAAAATCAGTCTTCAAAGCCATTATTGAAATAAGCTCTCAAGTTATGTCAAAGGTTCAATACTCTTACAGAAAACACAGTTAGCATTATAAAAGGTCCTATGCTTCAGAGAAAGATCTAATAAAAAAAGACAGGACCAGCAGGTAGCAGGGATTCAAAATTCAATATTTTATCTTTGTACAAAGTACTAAAATTTCAGTTTTAACAAAAGAAGATATATCATAAAATATCTTTTTTATGAAATTGAAGAAAACACAGTTCATTCTTGACGTGGTTCTGCTAGGTATGAACCTATCGAGAACATGATGCTTCTTGAGTGGGCAGAGTATGTTCTAATTTGTAGGCTGTGTAACCCATTGCTCTTCAGGTTACAGAGTGACTTGCTTCTGTGGCTCATACACAATAAAAATCTCAGTGCAAATCAAATGCCTCACTAGCTTTCAGCAAACCATCTCTGTTCAAACATTCAGGAAAGATGCAATTCACTCCATATAATGCACATGAAGAGCTGGACTGTCACTGAGTCTATCACCTAGATCTCAGTTAAGTTTGTCATACGAAGTTTTAAGTACACTATTAAACAGTCAACATCAAAGACCACTCTTTTTTAGGACATAAATGAGGCAAAATGTCAACAATTTCTGCCACATTGTTTTCCCTCTTCATTAGTTTTTAATTTAGAAACACTTCTATCAGGAATAACTATTAATGCTCATGACACTTGTGAATACTGTCCTTTTCTATCTGTGAGAACTTGACAAAAATAAAATTCATTTCTATTTTCTCCTGCCTATAGTTACTTTAAAAATAATATGATCAAGGTGCTCCTGTTTTTGATGGACTGCAGAATTTTAACATTTTTTTTTTCTAAATAATTATTTTATATAAAATAAGGTGCATACTGGCAATGACTTTGCCTCTCTTTCATCCTTCTAATTTGTTTCTGTATCTATGGAAATCTTTTATGCAGCAGCCTCTAAAAATAAGTACTTTATCAGTACTCCATAAAGTGGCTTAATTGTGACTAATGTACTCTATCTGCAGACTGCATCACATCATATTCTTCTCTTAGCTGCATTTGTTTAAATCTTGAGGAAATATATATGTCAAAAGAATTAAAACAGTTTAGACTCACAGAAATTTGAAAAGATTGAAATAAAAATATGCAACAAAACCGTAAAATTCCGCTGATGGAGAGAGAGCTGAACTTGAACTTCTCACAACCTGAGTCTGTTTTCTAAGCAAATGTAGATATCTGGGGATTAAGACAAAAAATCCCCTTTCTTAAACCTTCAGGAAGAAGAAATCTGTAAAAGCCACATTTTGTCCTAACTGGAATCACATCATTAAGGAAACCTTCTCTAGTTTATTTTTATTTCATTGTTTTTTTTTTTTCCCTCACACTCTTTAGCCCTAATCAAAAGTGCTCTCTCTGTTGCTTAGGTTCTATAGTATTAAAGTAAACATCAGAACAAAACAAAACATCAAAAACCCCTTTGTTTTGTCAGAGATATAATGAATGTTTGCAAGGGTTGTTTTAAGAAGCAAATTCAGCTATTAAAATAAGGAAAACAAAAAAGGAGAGTGCCAAAACCTGACACGACTTAGTGTTTGAAAAAAGTATAGACATTTATTGAAGGAGTCTACTGCAAGGCTTTCCCCTGGTTTCTCCCATTTTCCACCTTCTATCACAAAGCCTCCATGGTTTTCACTGATTTCACTGGTCTCATGGTAAAACTTCTTGCGTGGAGAGAGATAGAGGCAGTTTCTAAGCT